TCTCTTCGCGTTTAATCGACGACAAACGCTTAAACTTTTTAGGTAATTCGTGGTATAATAAATCTAGCAAATGCACGAGTGGAATATTCGGAAGATCAGCAAGCGATGCTTAAGGTACCGAATACCTTTTCAGTGTGCACAAATCATCGCGGTTTCTTGATGCAGACAGTGGACGATCAAGTTAGTTTTTCCTTCTCTGACAACCAATACTACCTTATCTGAAATTACATTTTATTAGGCTGTTTATCAATTTTACTTGCATTGATTTGATGACATCTATAGGTGCTGTTGATGCTTTCATCAAAATCTAAAGCGTCACTCTTTTTTTAACAAATTCATCGATGATTTCAGATGTATGATTGGCTATATGCTATCAATCCATTATTGGCAGGCCAATTGCGATCCAAGAAGGGATCCGTGGGTATTCCTTTATGATCAGTTATATTTTTTCTCCGCTACTAGTATCTTCTGTTACGACTGCTGCTGTACTGCTGCTGCTGCTGCTGCTGTTGATGCTGCTGCTGCTGCTGTTGATGCTGCTGCTGCTGCTACTGCTGCTATATGGGTATCGTGAAGAGAAGCTGTTGTCTTTATTAAATGATACTGAAATGATTCTTTTAACTCTTCTTCCTTTTCACTCTTTCTTCTTTTCTTCATTCATAATGAATGAATTTCATTTTTCGTAAAACATGTCTTAGCTGATGTCAAGTAATGGCAGTCAAATAGTTTTATCAACAATCATTTGACGAAATTTTTTTACACAAAATGGAGTCTTTTCAAAGCTACCCAAGTAAATTAACATGAAGTCAGCATTTCGTTTTTTTCTTTTTTTTTTCAGTTCATTTTATTAGCGATGACTTTTATTGTACAGAGTTATCGACAAAATGTAAATTTTTGGTGTTGCAGTCGAAAAGGATTTGCGCGATTTTACTTTTCAAACCGGAATTTTATTACTAGTTTGTACAAATTAAGCTATGATTTCACTCTTTGCTCACTTACTTTTCACCGATATTTTTTTTTCCTTAAAGTGTGTTGTCAGAGCAGTGTGTTGTCTGTTGTCATACAGGTAGGCTGTGACATTAATTATTTTCGATAAGTGGTAGGTGATCATTTGCGGTTAATAATCATTGAACGTAATTTATTTTTCGTCAAAAAGCTGGATGGTAATTATTTCCAGGAGGGACATTTCAATTAGTTGAAATAGAATTGAGATTGTTTGGGTGATTTATTTCTAGGTCTATTGTTTGCAATGAAATATTCTGCACGGATTTCCCTAATGTTTGGATGGAAGCTGAATATTTTTCCATAACATCACCCTTAACTTTGAAAAATCTGAATGTCAGTAAGTTCCTCAAGTGATTAATAGTAATTAAGAGTTTCAAATAGTTTGGAATGATCATAGATACAATGATTCATTGTCATTTAGTCGTCCAAAATAATTTAACTCTAAAAGTTGAACTTATTCGGGTGAAATAACATATGTTCTATATTATCTCAGCATTCCACTCACAACTGATGAAATGGAAAAGTTTGGTTTCACTGATTATTAAATTTCCCTCTGTAACTAAGATATATAAGACCTTCTTTCTGAATTGAAAATCAAATTTTACTGAAATTTGTGAGAGGAAAGGCATACTTCCGCTTATTTGGTATTGGATTTACCATTGCAATTGTTGTTGTGAACATTCCGGTCTTTTTACCCCAACTTTCCCACTGTCTTCCTAATTTCTATTCATTCCATTTTCCTCCTTCCATCACATATGGATTTAAGAATAATATCACTGTACAAATAAACTGTATTTCTGGTGATCTTTGCATTATTGATAACTTTGGGATAGCCTGGAAGATAACTGTCATGGCTGTGATTTAACTCGGTGTTATTCATTGTCGATGTTCCCAGCGTTAATATTAGGAAATCCTCGTAGTCGTAGTGTCATCAATTGACAACATGAAAACAGTTATGAAATAAGAAGTAGATGAAGACTCTTTTATTTTATTAATAACTTTCACAACTGGCTGGTAGCGAATGATCTAAAACTAGCAGCTGGAAAATTTATGGATTTCAAATTAAAATTAATTCCATAAAAATTTTCATGAAATTTAATGAATAAAATAAAGACAAAGGCACATGGCTGAGTGGTCTAGTGGTATGATTCTCGCTTTGGGTGCGAGAGGTCCCGGTTTCGATCACCGGCTCAGCCCTGCACTTTTCCAAATCAAAAATTTGAGATTTTATCTGTTTGCTCTCTCCACTTCAGTATTAACATCGGGCCATTTCACTGAATCTATTATTCTGGCTGTGTGAAAAGCTTCCAGACAAAATTGTTCCCTACTTCGGGTACATTATTTTCCCTGAAATAAACGTTCGAGGAAAAGCACTGTGTTGGGGAAGTTGTCCTGAAAGTATTTCTTCTGTTCGACTATAAAAAAACATCGTGACATCTATTTTATTTAGTATTATTTTTTGTGTGTAATGAATCATTTTCTAAGAAATAATCTAAATAAAGCAGTCTTTATAACACAAATTTTATTTTCCCAGACAATTCAATGTTTTGATTGTTTCGAATATTTCTTTATTATAAAAATGTTTCGATTTTTCCGACAAAAATTATTAACAATGAATTGAAGTAAGGAATCCAATTACAAAGTTACCTGACTTATGAAGCTTTATTAATGAATGCTAAACTTAAATGCATTTGAGTAAGTAAAGGTATGCTATATATTGAACAAATGAAGATGAAAATTCCGTGGTAATGAAAAATTGTTCAAAACTGAAATACATTAATACTTCATATTTCTTAGCAGATCAAATATCTTTTGTTCGATATAATGATTTAAACAATTATATGTTTGAATGATTTGTCGTGCTTATGTCTAAAATTCAAGCTGGTCACCAGAATTAATCAGGCTAAACGATCCTGCAAACGATTTCTTTCTTGATCATCATTCATGAATAATAATAAAGAGTAACATTTTTGGGTAAAGTGGAATTCAAACATATGCGATATGAAATTTCAAATACATTCTAATTTATTTGAAACTCTCAATATGTCTCGAAGTGAGACAGAAGAATTTATTTTTCTGCAATGTGAACAAGCCAATAGAGGAAAAAAAGTGATATCAAAAAGGTGCATTTCATCCATTCCAAGATTCTATCGCTCGTTTTCCATTCATTACGACGACAAATGCCAAAGTATATATTCATCGATGAGGTTAAATAATGATTTTGAATTTGCTTTATTTATAAGATTAATTGCTTCCCATGTTACCACAAACCTCATTCAAGCCACAATAG